GCGCCCGGCACTGCAACGACAGACACAGCCCGTCACCCGCCGCGCCGCGTCCCACACCCCCCGGCACCCTCGCATGCGATGGTGGCAAGGCCTGTGCTGTGGGGTCGTTCCGCTTTACCTGTGACTTTTTAAACTCCTCGCTACCTTTACATACTTGCTTAAGCAACTCTGCTGTATTTGGAGAGACTGCTATCAGATCCCCAAGTCAACGGATCAGACCTTGGTCTGAACAAGTAAGCCAGCCTTGTCTCCACTGATTCCCATTGCACAGTATCTATGTGTAACAGTTGGTGATCAGCTTCAAAGGAACTTCTTGGGAGTGATGCTTCGGAGGTGAAGTTCAGAGCTTTCTTTCAGTCTACTCTATGATTCCCACAGATTTCCTGAATCTGAATTACCACTGACTCATCATCTAATTTTAACTACTTTTGCCTAAATCAGTAACAGTTTTGCTGAATCAGGACTCACTAGTTTTCAGGGAGGGTCTTTTGATACTGAATACATCAACAAACATAGAAGGGATAATCCACTCAGAAACCCATGGCTGCCCCTAGTCCTAGGACCCTCTTCTCTGCCCCTAGCCCTAGGACCACTAACACTGACTTCCTGGCTTCCTCTAGGGCTCCTGCTTCCTGATGGTGAGGCACAGAAACATCCATGCTGGCCCAGGATGACTCCCTCTGGAGCCATTCAGGTGACACTGTGCCATGCTGAACTGAGCTTCAGGAGGAAGGTGAAGTGATGGTCCTCAAGCCTGCCCTGAGCCAACAACAGTTACAGGTTCCAGCTTGGACATTTGTTGTCATGAAAACCAGAGAGCGGTTAGGGAAAGTATCATTGAGTATAGTGGGTGACAAAGCAACCAGTAACGCACAAAGAAGAAAGCTAAAACAAAGAGAGAGGAATATGATAGAATGAAATACAGACAAAATTTATAAAAGTTCTTGAAAGAAGATTTGTAAGGAAAGTATGTGAGGAAACAGATAGGAAGCCAGAACAGAAATGTAAGGGGAAGATGTGAGAAAATAGATGGGAAGCCAAAAAGATTCAAGAAGTGGGGGCTGTAGTTAGGGTAACTTCAGCATAAGCATTTGGACTGGCTGCAATCAGAAATGTGAAAAGAAGCAAATGTATATCGGAAAAGTTTTCCACATGTGGTGCTGGGAGCAAAAGATAGGGAGGTAAGAAGCAATTCTGATGATTTTAAGCAGAAGCATGGAGCTATCTCAACTGCTTGCAATTCCTTTTGCAAAAAGTGGTGAGAGTGATTCCAAGAGAGGCTACTACAGAAAAGCTGGAGCATGACAGAGAAATGAGGACACTGGAACCAAGTGCAGGTGCAGAAGGAAAGATAAGAAGGAACAAAATATAATAATGAGGGGAAACACTAAATAGTATATTAAACCCTCTAATAATCTTGCAGATTCTTTATTAGTTTTCCTGTACAGAACCCACCAAAAATGGCAAGTGAGTTGCATCAGCAGGTTTATGGGAGGAAAAGATACTAGGCTTCAGGATCGTAGAGTCATATCCAGGATCATTTACAAGTGCCAAGCTGTGTGGAGACCTCTAATTTGCAAGACCAGATCAGGCAAGAGATCCATTAGTCAGGTGTCTTCCAGCAGCTGCTCAGTTCCTGATTAATTTCTAATTAAAATTCTAGTCATCTACCCACGCCCTGTAATTACATTTTCAATGGCATTAGGCTTTTATGAGCATCGGTCTGAATGTAATAGGTGTACAGCTAGGTCTATGGCTAATCTTTATGGCAGTTCTGTTCATTCTGTTAGAAGAAGACTGACAGCTAAACTTAACTGACCCTAAGGCAGCGTGGCTCTGTGCATGGCTGGCAGGCCATGCTTTCATCCTGATGCCTGCAAGGTTAGCAATTTATCCACCAGAACGTGAGGTTTAATTGTTAGCTTGGCTTGAGCAACCCACAATGTTGCTGTCATGGGTATTAAGTGCTTTGTCAAACAAAACCTCACTCGTTGTGGTGATGCTTAATATCCCATAGTGTTTAAATCCAATGGGTTTTGGTTTTTTTTTTCTATTTTTCTGATTTTTTTAATTGATCTGTTAGCATAATCTGCAAGTTAAATAAATTCACTGTCCATTTGCCTTGCCAAATCTTTACTGACTACTTTAAGAGTACCTCACTATGAACATTCTATTTCCCATGAGCAGCTCTGTACCACGGTTTTGGTTTTGCGGTTTTTTATCTAACATGTAATCATTATTTACACCACAATATTTTTTCCCATTAGCATATGGCACTTTTTTTCCTTTATATGCAGGCTTTAAGAAAGGATATCCCCAAAAATGTTTTTGGAGACTTAGGCGGCCTCCATTTGTTAAGTAACAAATCAATTTTCAGGAAAAAAAAAGTAGAAAGAAAAAAGTGGACAAGAAGAGGAAGGCTGTTCTGGAGGACAGGGTAGAATGATTCTCTTACCAGCCTTCTCAAAGGGCTGTAACAAATCTTCTCTAACAATTTTCCTATATTTATGTGGTGTTCACCAACCTGCAATTCTGAGTACCATTTCATCTCCTTTAATAATATAAAAGAAATTTATACTGCAGATCTAATCCAATTTTCAGGAAGGGATATGAAAACTTGGTATTAACTTTTTTTTTCCTATTTAATTTTTGTATTACTTTCTGAAACCTGTCACCTGGCAACAGTAATCCCTCACTGATGTGAAAATTCTGAAAATATATTAATTTATCTGCTTTTCTATTATTTGTTAATTTTATTGGCATGATTACTTTTTTTATTGGAGTAGCTCCTGAGTACTTCCAGTCCTTTCCCCTGTCACATTCACAACACCTGCACCCAAGCCTTCCCTGCACTGCTTGAGTCTTCTGCTACCTTACATCCCAGTGAAATGAGAAATTCTTCCTGGTGCCCCTTGTTTATAGACTACTTCGCTATTTTAGCCTCTCTGTAAAACTTGGTATTGATAAAAATCCAAATGGGTATTTATCACTTCTCAAAGGGTGACTGAGTTTTATGGGAACCTGCCCTCCAAGCCAAGCTCCTATCAGCAGGCTGTACTTCGCTGCCATCGGGTCACAAGAACGACCCTTTTGGCTTCCAGTATGTTACATTTCTGTCCTACAAAGATGCAGAATGCAAGGAGAATTCTATGGAATAATGGTCTCTAGAGAATTCTTAGTGAACTAAATAGAAGATGATTATTTTTCCAATGAACTTGACAATTAGCAACTCCATACAGATTACACTTTCCACGTTTTAGAAAACAATGACCATAATACGTATTAGCCTTATTCTAATTCAGTTTTACAGCACCCTCTCCACCCCACCTCCCCATCAGACTAAGGGTTTTTGATTTTTGTGTTTACCAGAGGAGATAAATGACACAAGTGATATGTTCTCCATCTAGCTTAACCTATAATATGGAGACCTCCAGCTCCTCCTTACCTGGTAAATCATCTTCATCTTCACTGAAAACATTTGGGTTAAAGACAGGCAGGTTAATGTAGTCCATTGAAATCTTCCGCACTTCTGGGAGATATATTGTCATCTGCCTGGGCTGCAGATGCAGCAAACTGGTTTTATATATTACTGGAGAGACAGTGTAAGAATAAATAAATAAATAAATACATCTGTTACGTAAAGAACATCTAAAGCTAAGAAAGAATCAATTCAATGCAGACAGAAGGGCTATGACTATTGTTATTTACTGTATTAATGAACAAATGCAAGTATGGGCCACTCATAGTGGAATCACTATGTAACACTTTGCATAAACAGAGTTTAAAGATATTGTTACTTTCAGCTGTTTCTCTTTAAACAGAAGCGACATGTCTGTAGTTAAATAATATGCAGAAATAACGAATTATGTCATCTTGTATTCACATTTATTTTTATGGAAGGAAGATAATTTTTCCGTTCTACTTTTGGAACTCTTCACCAAAGGATGTTACTGAATTATATGAGTTTAGGGGAAAACTGGAAAGCACTCAGGAAGGAAATCTGTTGAGGGTTACTACATACAAAGGAACTCTTCCTGGGTCAGGAACTCCCTGGGACCCAAATCACTGGAGACAGGGAGAACATTTGAAGGAAGTATCACTATACACTTACTCTACACTTACATTCTTGTCTACCTATCTGTCACTGAATGAGAAAATTAGAATGACCTCTTCTGACTCAGTAGGGTCATTATTACACTATCTTTTGACAATCATTGCAAAAGCAGACGTCCAAAAGTCATATATTACTTGGAAAAAAACTTCAAACAAGTGGCTGGAACAAACCTGAGGGTTTCCGTAACACTTCATTATGCAGAAGGTGCCATTGCCCTTTAATGGTAGCACTGGTTGTCCCCAGGATGACATGATCCTGAGATGACAACCTTTGCCTGGAGGCTGGGCCAGAGAAAGTCCTCTCCCCAGCAGTTAGGAGTCCATGTCTTGTCTGATAGTTGAGTAGTCAAAATAGCCACAAAAGATATTTAGAGAATCATCATGTAGTCCTGATCTAACTATATAATGCAACACAGGAAAAAATAAGTTTTCTGAAGAGCTCATAGAACTCCTATACTTGCATGAATATTTCAATTCAGAACTCATTTCTGCTCTTTACTCAGCCTTCTTCCTTCAACAGGACTATCAAGGCAGAATTGGCCTACCCAGAAGAAGGTAAGGAGCATAGACAACTACTATGTCTAATAAAGGCTATCAATTTACTGATGCTCCAGCAAGAGAACCTTATGATAAGGCTATGCACTGACTTGAAGAATCTTGAGCATGATGCTGTAATAACTTTTTAAACATTACTTTGGTATAATTAGTAGCCAAGTGACTACAAAAATCTAACTTCTAAAAATATTTCTATTACAGCAGCTTAAAACCTGTGATTTTTATTATAGCCTTCTCACAAAAATGTTCTTTATTTGTTTGGGTTTTGTTCAAATGAACTGTAAAAATAAAGGTCTTGACTGTTGATTAATATTTTTATTACAACTAAGACTTGACATTTCATTGATCACCTCATTGTTGTATGTATAGATTTTAATCTCTTTCAGTTACAGTGAATTTTGTAAAATCTAATTGCTACTGTCCATAGAAAATAAATGCTTTGTTAAAGAAGCCTTCTGATCACTTAAAAAGAATCACATGGCATAAGTTTGTTGCTTGTTAGAAGGAGTCTGACATGCAAAAAATCAATAGAGTTTACTTTTACCTGCACCAAGGTTAGTTGGTAGGAAAGCAGCCAAACCCACAATTTTAAATTTGGTTCCCCAGATATTAGATGTGACCTGAGCAAGATAGTTGTGCTGCAAAGCAAAACAAAATCATTTTCACCTAATAAAATCTGTATCAAAGTCTAATAAAAAATCTGCACAGCAATCAGGCTATTGCAAGTGATAATTTCAGCTCCTCTTGTTTTTATTTTATTGAAACATCTTAATGTGCTTATGTAGCAACTGTTAAACCCAGTCATTAAGAAGTCTCATTTTGATATCTGAACACCATCAGATACTGTGTACGCAACAGACACATCGGCTGATAAAAGCTGTTGAAGAACTGAACAACATGATGGCCACTTAGTGAGAATAGGTCTGTTTTCAGGCACTTGCTTCTCCTGCACAACGAGAGCATGGCTATTCTGTAAATATACTCTGCCCTTTGCTTCTATGCTTATGAATGACTTTATAGAACAATAAGTAAGACAGAAATTAATTACTAAGAAAGACAAACATATTTTTCCTGGATTTCCAAAGCAGCTTCCCAAAACATTGCTTCCATGGTGATCAAATTATGGGTCTTAAAGACCAAGAGATTTTCACAAAGGCCAAGAGTTACACAGCCAATAGGAGTTAGATCTGCCAAGAGGAGGATCTAAGCCTCTGGTCTCCTGCCCTATTCAAAGGACTTTTGGTCCTACTTACCCCTGCTGTGTAACTGATCTAGACCGTTTCAATATAAAGGAAAAAGTGAAACGATAGAGCAGAAAAAAACCCAACTGAAATGAAACAAAACAGAATAAAAAGAGCGCTGTCTGGTATTAATAAAATATGTAACCCAGACAGTTCTACAGCTTGCTAAGTTTCATTTATCCACAGGACACAAACACCACAAAGAGCACAAAATACTAATTCCTTGCCTTCCTTCCAATTAAGGCCATTACATGTTAATTATCAAACAGACAACAAGTGGCCCTCTGAAGCAAGCATTTGCTTATCTCTGCAATCCCTAGCAAAGCAGAGAACTTTGGTAGCATTAAGACAGCTCTGAGAAACTGATGAAGCCTTTTTACCTACACTTTCAAACAGCCAGCAACATCACCTCTCACATGGATAAAACCTCTCACATGGATTCACACTGACAGAGGTCAATGGTAGCAGGAGTTACCAGACAACACCTGATATCCCACCAACTCTTTCAAACACTAACATTGACCTGGAAGATGCAATTCTCTAGTTGCTCCATCTAGCTACTGTAATTAAATGAAAATTTTTCATTGCTGATCATTGGATCTATACCACAACATGCTGCCTCTGGAAGGAGATGCATGTGGACTCAGGTCTGACAACAATATGCACAATACCTGAGTAATATCTTCTAAAGGAAACTCTCTTCGGGTTAGGCTTGGCGAACCAATAGAAGGTTTCCTTATTGGCAGCCTTGGTGATCTTGATATCTCCTGCGCAGCTCGTGACATCTTCGGAGATTTGCGAGCTTCTATGTTGATTCTGCAGATAAAGCAATAACTGGAATCATCAACAGGCATTCAAAAATGCACAAAGTTCATGCCTTTGAATGCAAATACATAGTGAAGACAACTGGTATAGTGTCCTCTAAGAGACTGTAGAGTCTACAGGACGGAGAGTTACAAGTCAAATTTAAAGATATGTAAGAACTGACACCTGCAGTAACTCAGACCGAATACTTTCTGATTCATTTAACAAAGCTAACAGCAGTTCTGTCAGGTATAATATATCCTCTACTAATCCACAAAAAGGTGTAGGGCTGAGTTATTTCAGCTATGAAGTCTTTGAGCAATGTCTCAAGAAATGAAAACATGACACCTGAACTGGCAGATCTTCACATCAGTACAGCAAACCAAGGCTCGACAACTTTGTCAGTGATCTTACTCTAAGCCAAAAGTTATTCCTACCTCCCACTATACAAGGTGGGTCACAAATAAGTGACTAAGCACCTGAAACAGCTGACTGGTCGGAAAAATAGCAAATGAAAGTTAGATTTCAAAAGTATACTCTTAGAAAATCAAGGATGCAATATAGTTGTTTTTCCTGAGCCATTTCAGTTTTAGGCTTAGGAGTTCATGGCGCTTTTATCAAGTACTACTACTAAACTAAGACTTTGGTATGTTCATATATAAAGGGATGCATTTGCTTTGCCTCATACTAGGACAAACTCATAATGTAAGGTCCTTGGAAAAGTGTCAGTTGCTACTAGAAGGCATCAGGGCCTCAATCCCATAACACGAAGCTGGCAGATAAATGTCAGTGAGAAGCATCACAGACATCAGTGAGGCTCTGTGCTGATGGAAGATTCTGTCTGTGCACATAACGAAGAACCAGCAGAAAAGAACCAGACGAATCAATAGCCTAGAAGCTTGTTTTGCATATTGTTACAGAACCTTGTCAACCCAGTGTTTAGGAGGATCTGGTTGCGGAGGCTCCCTTGCAAGGTCACCACAGCAGCAGTGTCATCTATGCCAGGATCTATGCTACCTATGCATAGATCTGAATTTCAGAATACCTCATGGGAAACAAAGGCTTTACCTAAACTAAGCACTGAGGAGGTAAAAACACAAGACTGTTTGAAGGACAAAATACATTCCATGGCAGCAAAAGGTCACAAGTGGCAGAGGTCGAGGAGGGAGAGTATAAAATCTTTCTCTAAGACTGTTTGGGAAGAAGTCGTGCCCTACTGTTTCCCACTAGCTTTTGCCCCAGAACCCTCCCCACAGACCACCTCAACACCAATCTCTTGAGATCACCCCAGAATTGCACACTGTAGAGAATCTCACTCCTTCAGAGGACTTCTATCTGCCCAAAGTTTGCTTTTAATTTTATGAGGTGTCAAGACAGTGTTTAAAAAAAAAAAAAAAAAAAAGAAAAAAGAAAGAAAAAAGGAAAGAAACCAGGGGAAAAAGAAGAAGCATCATCCAAAGAATTATTACCTGGGGAGTTTGGGTGATTTGCTAGCTCGACTGATTTTGGGAGATTTCTTTGCTGCCCAGTCATCACTCAGTTCAATATCGCTGGAGTCAGAGCAGTTGCAGCTGTCAATCACAGTGGAAATCAAGCTGTTTCCATAGATTTCATCTATCAAGACAGGCCCCAGAAAATGTAAGTGGTGCTTCAGAAAACTGATATCAATTGCAACCATCAGTCATCAGAAGCATAAATCCAATCCACAGGCAGCAGCTGAGATAAAACCATGCAGAGGAAAATTAACCATTCTTCACCCTGCCTAGTATAAACTCCAAATTTCCAATGATTTGAACCTAAGTGAACATGATTCAGAGGGGTGAATATCAACGCAAAACTGATATTAAAGAATATTTTCTGCTGATTGCCAATCTGTTCCCCACTACTCAAATAGAAGAAGTTCCCTTTCATAAGACAGAAGAGACAATAGCATAATTTCAGAGGCTTAAGCCTAGGTCATGCTGAAGATTTTCCTTAACTTTTAATATCTAAATGTTTCTGAATCATTTTTTTATTCAGAGCAACAATTCAATTGTACCTGCTTTTCCATCTGTTTTAGGATCCATGATGACAAACTCCGGCCGCAACTTGCTAATGCGACGTCCCTTCAGTATAGGCACCAGTCCCCCAAGGTATTCCAGGTACAGAGTATAACATGGACCACCAACCTCTGGGTCATCTTCTGTCCGCTTCATCGTGCAGTGAAGCCGTTCATTACCAGCTGTTGGGTAGCTGACAAAATCTCTCATGTTGTTTGGGTCTGGGATAGGAGGCTTGATTAAATGAAGCAAGGAAAGAGAAAGTTTCCTACAGGTTATTGTGGTGTTTTTTTTCCTGTGGTGACTTAATCCCAACACAACTAACTGAATATGAACCCATCTCTAACTTGGCAGTTCAAGATTAGCACAGGTTACTGTGTGAGTTATGCAGGACCCACACGCAAGACAGAGCAGCTGTGTATTATTTAGTTAGGTCAAAAGCAGCTGTACACAGAAAACTGAAACTAGTTACATGAAAAAAGAAGGTTGGATGTGTGATCAGGTCACTGAACTAGACAACAACCTGACTTCAAGCCCTGGCTCTACCACAAACTTCTCTTTCTAACTTGGGTAATATGGTCAACCCCAAGTCTCAGAGTATCTTGTCTCTTGGTGGTGCTCCAAGTGAACTTGGCCACTCAGGTTCCCATTCCTGGTTAGTACCAGTACATACTATGCCACTATGCTACAATGCTGTCAGCTCTGGAAGAAGCTTGTACTTCTTTTATCACTTCCAAGCACATGACCCATCTTTGCCAAGGGCCTATTTGTGTGCAACGTGAAGAAATATGAACACAAAGCTCAGGGTAGGTTACTTTGCCCTGCTTGCCAGCACGCTGTATTAATCCATGAAAAGCTCGGTCCTAAAGCAGTTGGACTGCTTTTGTCTACAACAATAGAGCCTGTATGACACAAATACTATTAATGTGTCTAAGTCAACACAGTTTCTTTCAAAATGAAAGTACAAGGAAAAAAAGTGGGGGGAAAAAGAAGCCTCCTTAACCTGCTGAGATGGATACAGGCTGAGGAGTGATCTATGATGTAGTGCTCAAGCTGGAGGGGGAAGAGGCATGCAGGCAGGGAAGATGGTGCCTCTTCAGGCACTGGAGGCACAACTGAAAATGTAGGTAGGAGTATGTGCCTGGGGGAAAGCCAGGGTAAAGTAGATCAGTGTTGAGGAGGCTCCAGAAACACCCATGAAACAGCAGTGAGGGGCACGTGGCTTCTGGGAATCCTGCTTCAGCCTCTCATCTACGCAGCCCCCTCTAGGAGCTGACAGAAAAGTTGTTGGCAAGTACATTCTCCTATACTGCCTCTGCCCCTCTGAGCAATGTCATGGCTCCCAGCCTTGATACAACCAACATCTGCCTCCATCCCATCCTGTCCCATCCCGTCCTGTTCCCTTTCCTCCCCAACACCCAAGCAAGCACCACTGAAGCTCTAGAGAGCTGCAGGGGTGGCTCTGAGACAACATGGAAAGCATTCTGGGGAGAACTAGGCATGCTAGAAAGAACTGAGAGCCACTGGTGTGTTAAATGCTCTGCATTTGATTTGAAGATTGAGGAGTTACGGTTACAGCAAGGCATTTATTCTTCTCTGGCAAATGAAATGTTTCACAGTTGCACAAATTGCCCTCATTAGCAGTACCCAAATGGAGCCATGCTGAATCATTATTTTACAGGCATAATTTATTCTCATCTAAGCTGGGCCAACTCCACTGATTTTAAATTAGTTATTCTAGCTCTGCATTGTTTTAACAAGGATGTGAAACTGGCTCAAGAGAATGCTGTAACACACACACAGAAAATACCTAACACAAAAATGTATGTTTAAATGTAGGGCATTTACCAGCTAATGCTCTGGTTTATAGGCTGTGATAAAGAGTTCAGAAATCCTGAGATATAACTGCAGGCAAAAACCGTAAAACAAAGGGGCTGAGCAGATGGCTCTGCTCGTGGTACAGGAAAAGGCATAATATCCAGTTGATTTTCCACAACTCTGTTGGAACAGTAAGGTTAGCAGAACTCACTGTCAGCAGAAATGTCTGGGCAGCCACAGGTCTTAAAGTGTAACTTTCCTGGCAATATAAGGACTCATGTAACAAGTAGGAAGGCAACACTTTTTAAGACTGTGCATCTCTCTTACAACTGTGACACAGTATTACCATCAGCATGAGCTGCTTCAGAAGTCTTTCTGAGTCACCTGCATATCTTATCCTTGGGATGTCCTTGGACAGGCCATCCCCATGGAATAAAGCATATCAGCATGTGTGAGCCCTCTGTTGAGATCTTAATAGGCACCAAATGGATCAGTGGGCTCTTGAAGAGGACAGGAATGACCCTTAATCAAGCTTTTAAACTGATAATTATGATAATTATAATAATTATAATATCTTATAATTTAGCCATTGCCACTTAGGAGCACCATGGCAGGGAAATCAAGCAACCTCTTCCTCTTCCTTACACATACACACACATATTTCTTTCCTTTTACCTTGATAGTTGGTATAAAGGCAGTGGTGAGGTATGAGCAGAGCCGAGGGGGCAGGGTCAGTTTGCTGATATCCTTGTCATCCCGCAGGCAGCCAGCGATGGTCTGCTGGCACAGCAGCTGCAGGCTGGAGACCCTGTGCTCCACTCTGACAACGTACAATGCAGGTCCAGAAGCCATCAGCAGGCGCGAATCCCTGTGACCCCAACAGATGGAGATGATGGGACGCTGTGTGGAGAGGAAAAGGATAATACTTTAAAAGAGCCTGTAGTTGCTCCTAGAGAGTTGCACAGCAAGCGGTCACATGAATTCAAGCACCAGTCACGTTACCCCAAGTCTTCCAGACACTTAAAAGTGCATACAATTGCCCACAAAAATGGAGAGGGATGTGAACATCTGAAATTATCAGCATCAGCAGTTGATATTTATACAGGGCTTTTTGTTCATGAGGCTTAAAGCCCTCCACACAAGGAATTGTCTATCAAATTCATTGTCCAGAGAAGCTGCGGCTGCCTCATCCCTGGCAGTGTTCAAGACCAGGCTGGATGGAGCTTTGAGCAACCTGGTCTAGTGGAAGGTGTCCCTGCCCACGGCAGGAGGGTTGGGACTAGATGATCTTTAGGGTCCCTTCCAACTTAACCACTCTATGATTCTATGCCAAGTGAGTTTAAAGTCACACAGTGTTAAAAAGCCGGAGCTCTTGATGCCCTATCCAGATGTTTATTTCAGTCATCTTATCAATCTTCATCCACTGGTAATGGCTCACATTTTACAACTGAAAAGTTAAATTACATGCCCTAGTGAACTACTGGACAAAACAGAGTCAGCTTTCTTGTCTTACACTGTGTCTTCTGCTGTACAGTACCTCTTCTAAACTATTCCCACAGGAAGTGAACTGTGGAAAAGCACCAGGAACAAAACAGAAAATGACCTTTTGTCTTGTGCCTGCTATATTCAGAATGCCTAAATTCATGACAGTAAAACCAGAGTCAGGGGCAACTGGTACTAAGTGTCAGAACATGTTTATTATTAATTAACAATAAACAACTCAAACGCTGCTTTGGACATTATTCCCTGCTGCATGAACATTAAGAGTTCATGTGAGGATACTGAGTTGTGCTTGCAAGGAGCTCTTTAGCCTCTCCTCCTAAACCCCATCTTTTTCATGTAAAGCGCCAGTCTGTTGTGACCTCTTACAGCCCGCCCTATCACTATTACTTTTGCCTTTCATGAGTGTTAGCTGCATTCACCTGTCATCTCTTCTGTTACAAAGCATCTGTATTTGCATATATACACACATACTGGATGGAATTTCAATCCCCCAGCTGCTATCTCTATACAAATAAACAACACAGAGTAAAGAAGAAACTCTCATGCCATGAAGAATACTGTGCAGCAGGGTCTGATCAGTGAACTACAAAAGGTTTCTTCTTTCCTGTGGAGGGCTCCCTCCTTTTCACAATCCATGACACTAAAAAGTTTAAGCAAACATGTTTTTAATCTAAATTATGAACTGTATTTACTGAAAGGTCAAGGTCTTTTTGGAGTATCTTTGCTTTTCACAAGATGCACAAACCAAGAATTAACTATACAGAAGACAAGGGTCAAGGCACCATCAAGAATAACTTTCATCCACTCCTCTCTAATAATATGGTACCCAGACAGCTGGGTTAGATCAGCCTGGAAGTTACAAATCTAGTCTGGAGAAGAAAGCTTTCCCTTCAGTTACAAATTCAAGATGCTTAAAGGTGAGAAACTGGGACAAAATGCTTTTATATGAATGATACAAAGCAAAAGGCAGCTGCACAGTACTATATCAATGTATATCATCAAGATACAGGGTTGAGTGAAATAACTTTTTCAGAGAAAAGAATATCATTTTATCCTAGATTTATATTTCAAGGAAAACACTGGTTTTAAAGTGGGAGGAATGAAGAAGCCTCATTTTCATTACATCTAGGCAACACCACACACACATACTTCCATGGAGGCACAAACCTTCAGGCTGACTGATATGCAAATAGAAAGCAGCAACATGTGAACCGTGTGATTTTCACAGTAACTGCTAAAGGCATTTTGTAGTCAAGAACTTCAAAAGAACTGAGAAATCCTTTGTGTACCATCAATAATTAGTACACGGCTTGTCATAACCACTATCTGTGGGACAGGGCCTCAAATTTGATGAGAGATCACATAAAGGATACCTTACTGATTAGTATTTTCATGATTTGAGAGTTTGGCTCAGCCCTCATACTGTTGGGCAGTAATAAGACAGTTCAAGCTTGCAAAATAAATGCAACTGAAAAGGCACTGACACAACTTAGGTTCCTGCCATATCTAGCGTATGACAGCCTGAGAAAGGCACTAGGAGAAGTGACCCTGATTTCCCCACGTGCTGAATTCTGCACAGGCACAGAACTATCTACTTCATCTTTACCATGGGATCCAAACTGCATCCTTCTGTTCACCTTGCATGAACAAAAGCTTACCTATAAATACAGTGAAAGAACAAACAAGGATGCGACTTTGCACACAAATCTTTAATTACTGGATAGAGTTTAATGCCAGAAGAGAAGTCTAATATCTCAGCTAGCATAATCCAATACAGCACACCCAGAGAGCCCTACCATGAAGTCTAGTACTGCAGCTACTATAACACAATATATCACACCCAGATAGGCCTCCCTTCTTCCAAATAGAGCCAAACGAAACCACTTCTCTCCTCAGGTTACTGCTGCATCCAAAGAACAGCAGAGATGCAGATACCACCAGTGCAAGAACATTTGCAATCTTAGACATATTCCCAAGGAACAGGTTTTTCAGAAGCTTTGAAACACTGGGAAGGATGTCTGGCAACACAGCACTATGAAGCTCAGGAAGAATTGAAAGTTACAAGTTGAAAGACATTGCCTCACTGCATGGTTTCACCACAGGCAACCATAGTTCAGCCATCTTCTAAGCTTCTGAATATCTGATTCCCTTATGCTCTGTTTACAGATTTTTATGTAAACAATATGTCAGTGGGTGCATGTTTAGATACACACACACACACAATACCTACAAGAGTTACACTGTTTGTAAATCACAGCATTTCTACTCTTGATTTAGTCTTCCTACACATGTTTTAATCTTAGTATCTCATCAAATAGCACTTGTACCATACTGGTTTGTCTTTGTTTATTGATTCACCAGGCATGCTTTGCCTTCCTCTTCTATGTAATGGTCAGGCCCACAGTACTTCTCAAGCCTAACATCCAGCAACATTTCATTTATGGTGAAGGGCTAAGATTTAAGATGAGACTCAGGGAAAATTAGTCTGTCATTACAAGCTTGGAGAAAGAAAAGATCACCCAAATGCCAGATCTGACCTGACCTTTAAATGTACTGCTCAAATAATATTTTTCAATAACTATGCTACCCACT